CAATAAACTTAATATATTACTGAACTCATCCCGGAACCTCTGCCACCAGAGATTCAAATGACTCATTTGATAGTTGTTATCCAGTTGCCGATGGAGAAAATCGCTTCGTCCGTGGATTGTTCAGAGTTTGAACCGGTTAGAGTTCCAAGAACTTTGGAGAGTCATTGCTTCCATCGGAAGCAAGAAATAACTCTGTGAATATACTAATGAATACGATACCAGCAAGTGATTTTGAATCAATCAGTGATGTGACACGTGCGACAGCTTTTGTGGTAACAAATAAACTTTGAGTTGAGATGCAATTTCTAGAAGCAATTCCTAAAATAGAAGAGCCATTATAGTTGAGAAGAATCACAAACAAGCAGGAAGAAATGCATCGAGAAGAATGCCAATTACAACAACTAAAAATGGACAAAATAAAGATATAAACGACGAATAAAATGAAAAAGTACAGGAGTAGACCAAACAAACTAGTCAGAGTTGAATATGAGGGTGCTAAGCAGAGGTTGTCAACGGAATCAGAGAAGTTCACAAAGATCAGGCTCGAGCGGTACAAACAGAACAGAATCTTCGTTGAAAATGCTAAAGCATTCTGTAGAAAGATGGGGGGAGGTAAGCCAGCACATCAAGCGGAAGTGGTTGGTTCTAACTCAGTTCACCTCAGCTCTGGAGACGGATGTGGAACAATGAGGAAGCCCACGAAAAAGAAGGTAACTAGGTAAAGGAAATGGGTGGTAAAACGGTGAGTTCCAACACTGGCCAATGAACCCTACAGCTCCCCTAAAACTAGCCAAGCAACTCTCTACTACATCTCGACGGACTGGCTGAAAGACGTGTTAAATAAAGGCCAGAGTTCACGAAGGTCGACACCCTGAATGAGCTGTCAACGAAATTCATGAAAAATATACGAAGGAACATTCTGCAGGAAGGAATATCGGGACTGTTAGTGCAGGACACTGCGTCAGCTTGCCATACGCTGGGACTACTTAAAATCCACTTACGGTAAGGATGCAACTGGAAAATGGTGACAGGACATCATTCAAGATCCTTGTGGTTATCTGCAATATCAGGACTGTGATCAAAAGCGCTGGAAGACACCTCCATCAGAGAAACGGCGAAGATCAAAGCAGATATTGTTGGCGTGTGTGAAACTTAAAACGGCAAAAAAATAACGCAGGAGGAACAGAAACCACAGATCGATGCCGCATGAAAGCGATCTTTGGGAGGTTCTAGCACAATTCTACCACAACCTCTACCGCTCTAAAGGTATAGGCAAACTGGAAGGTGCTGTAGTTCGCCCAGAAACCGTTCCAGGTGAAGTAACTAGACTGGGCAGTCAAAAATACCAGGAGTGACAGGTGTTCTGGCCTGGATAGCATAAAACATGTAATTCTCAAGTTAGGAAGGATGAACCTGTTTAAAACATTTTTCAAACGATTTACAAAGTACATCAGACTGAAAAAGACACCCAATGCATACAGGAACTGTGTGATGTTCCTTCTATTCAAAAAGTCAATCCTGAAGACCTGCAGAACTATCAACGCAAAACACCCCTGTCACAAGTGTACAACGTCTTTACCCAATTCATCCTTGACCATATCCGGGAAAACCTGGCTCTGCTCACATGTAAAAAACAAGAACGATTTCCGAATAGGGGTCTCCAACGTAGACCACCTCCACGTCGCGAAGCAGTTAAAAGAGTGCAAGAAAAACGAATATGAATCCCCGTCGATGCTAGGCATTCACTGAATTTAGAGAAGCGTTCGATTCCATTGAGTTGATGGCGATACTGAACGCCTTGTAAAATGACAGCATCACCTGTCTACATCGACCTGATTGAGGAATTGAATACTGACACCGCAGATGATATCAAGATGTTCAAGGGAGCGTGTTGAATCAACAGCAAAAGAAAGCAAGCCTAGGGTACATCCTCTCTCTTAAGCGCTTCGCGACGGTACTGGAATTCCTGTTAAACCATCTGAACTAGGGTGCAGACACTAACATAGATGTAGAACGGTTCGCCCACCTGCTATGTAATAACAATAACTTAATAATCTCCTCCATACAAAAATTATGCAATTGCAGAGGGAGTCACACGACATCAGTCTGGAGGTGAATCTCTTCAAGACGAGCTGGATGCACGATTAACACGCCACGCGGGTACCAACTTCACTGACGAGGAAGAAAGTGAAAGAGTCCCTGAGTACGTATAACTTTTTCGCAACCTAATGGAGTGTAGTAAAAAACCTCAACGGCGAGATCAGCAGAAGAAGGAAGGCGGTACGGGCAAATTCCTATCACACTGGAACATCGCTGCTGGGTAAGAAACTGTCCATGCCCACGAAGAAATAGCTGTTTAATTCGTCCGTCCTATCGGCCATGATTTATGGTGGGTGTGGTGATCTACCACCAGGGCTAAAGGAAAAAACTAGTCATAGCACAAAAGGCGATGGAAAGATGAATATTCAAGGTACCCGTTCGAGACCTGGCTGTTAGTGCAATAGCACGGTGTCGGACATGATTTTCGATCGCACTCACTGCCACCTGTAACAGGTATGAGGTGGCGACGGGCTGGCCAGGTGACTCGTCATAAGGACAGCAGGCGGACATCTCGAGTTTGCAGCTGGGTGTTCCTCGGCAACAGAAGTTTACTCTGCTGTCTACCAACGTTCTTAGCCGATCCAATGAGGGAGTTGTTCGATCAGCAGTGGAAGCAAAGGGCACGACCTTAGAAGAGAGGCGGAACGTCGATTGCCCATGGCGCGACCGCTGAAGAAAATAAGGCCGGCAGAAGGTATTATATTCGTCTGTCGATTCGATCGTGCGAATGAAACTATCAAAAATAACCTTAAATTATGCTAATGTGATACTGTATGCACGTACTGTAAATTTGTTAGCAATTGGGTGCGATTAACGGCTGGAGATGGATAAATCAGATTTACGTAAAATTCGTGTTACGCAAAGGATTGCCGAACGCAACTCGTACATAACTCAGAGTCTATATTAATTATATTGGCCGTATTACCGCGCTACCTGTCGAAGCAGCAGAAATGTTCTTTTGCTCAGCCAAATCTCCTGCCTTATCCTGAAAAACGCCGCCTACTTTGGCACTCCCTTTCGTCATCGTCCTTCCTCAAATGCCCAGGTTTCGTGACCGAGTCGTTGCAGTCCGGTGACCGTGAAATGTGTCTGACAGCCGGTCGTTTGGCACTACCGAAATGTGGAATAAATTTATTTTTGGCTTAGTAAATTTTCTAATTATTTTCGACATTAATGACGACCGTGCATGATCGAAAATGGGATGTTCCATTTCGATTGATGAACGCCTAACGCGAACAAGCGATTGCTGCCATTATATCGTGCTCAAATGGTAATACAGACGAATAACACTTCCGCTCTGCTTTGGTACACTTCTTCAACGTCGTGCTTAATGTGTGCTCAATGCCGTCCTTGAATTGGAATGGGCGTCGTTGCCGTGCCTGTCACGTTCGATTAAAAATTACATGGAACGCCTGTCCCAAACGTTTGACCAACTCAGCGGCCGCCCAAAAGCGTACGGCTGCGATTCGCATACCAACGGTCCATTCATAAAAACCGACCGAATCAAAATAATACGTGGGTAATGAGTTTACCTGAATTGCCCAATATAGACAGTACAAATAATCGTTTTCGAATCACCGTCGATGGCTTTACTAAATCAAAAACAAATGTGTAAGTTTTGTCAAGCTGTACAAAACGACGCATCGTTTGGTGTAAAGAACAGAAAGGAGCATGATGTTAAGGAAAAACATGTGCTGGTGGACGACGTCGTTCCTTCAGTTTGAATTCTGGCTGTGCAGCTGCGAGAAGTCGTCTTGTTCACAAATGACGTTGTTTCGAAAGCTTGGCTTTCTTTGACAGCTGATTGTGGACACAGACGACTCATACAATTCATTGACCGATGTTCGAGCATTCGCCGTTCCACTTCTGTCCACACAGTTCATTGAAATGCGAATTTGCACCATGTCCGGATAAAAATGCGACACGGTTCGTTCATCACTGTGTGCTGTGTGCTGCTTGATGAATGACTGAACATGAAGAAGCCGATGATCCGCTTTTTCATGCCAGTCACTGATTGCTTGAACAGTGTAAATTCGCTACTTGTCTGCAAAAGGCAAAAGTCGTACGATAGCTGTGTGGACGACTGTCGCGTTGTTTACTGATGAGTGCGACCAAAGCCGACTTTTAACCCGGTTTGGTTCACCCGGAACCGACCGACAGCCGGCTGCCGCAAGCCCGGTTTTTCGACACGTTGTTCGTGACAGCTGTTGTTTGTTTGTCTGCTGCGGTTGGTCTCCCAAAAGCCAAACAAGTGCTGACAGTGCTACTCGATGGCGCGGTTGGCTTGCTTGCTTACTCGTGGTGACAGTCATCAACTGTTTCAGGTTTGACGCCAGTCTCGAAGTGAAGTGACCACAGGCGCTGTGTCACCGAGACGCACGAATACAGTGTCACAAGTTCAGCCATCGTCCAGTTGCCAGTTTACCCGTTAGTGTAATGCATGTGGCGATGGCGCTAGCGCACAGTCACAAATATCACATGCTCACATGCAACCTATTTCTCCGTCGTCCACCCTTACAGGAGGGAGTACGACAGCAGTTGTCCGCCAGCGCGTAAGTGGGATGGGTAGATCGTTAGATCGGTAGATCGGTAGATTTGGGCGATATGATAGCGACGGCGGGCAAAGGTTGCTGATCTGGCCTGAGGAAAGGCACGTGGGTGCGAAACACGCCGAACAACACAGACCACTTGCCCGACCTCCCGCGTCTCCTCTCCGCCATCCGCTGAGTCGCAATTGGCTGAAAAATTGACGACTGTGATTTTGCTGCAGAACCAGTAACGGCTTCATTTAGACATCGACTGTTTTTGTGGTTGTTGCGATTGCAATCGCGCTTATATAACGCGCACTTTCAGAACCGGCGTAGAATAGAAAGGCCCTCGGTGCAACCGAATACCGGACGATGGTTGGCTATCTGAACGACGCGGTCAAGAAGCCACATGGCCTGGCAAAGTTCCTGCGATCGCTCAGCTTCCAGATGAGTATCTTCCTGTGTGGAGCCATGTACTGTACGATGTTCTCCAACCTGAACCTGAGCGTGACGATTTTGGCAATGGTCAATACGACCTTCACCGGCTGTCGGTACGTTCCGGGTAACTTTACTCCCAGGGGCTGCGTGGACGGTGACCACGTCGTCGACCTCTCCGACTACGTGACGAACAAAGAACTGAATTG